GAGAGGAGAGGGTGGAGAGAGAGACGAGAGGGTGAGAATGAATTAGGAATTTAGGGTTTCAAATACTATATAATTTATTTTTTATAATATTTAATTAAATATAATAAAGTTGTATCTATTTTAAAAAGTTCTGATTTTTGAAAAAAAAAAGGTAAAATCTGGTTTTAGAAATTGAATCTCCAAATGTAGGGGTATGTGTAATTTCCACATCAAACAATTATCAGTTCCACAGCTTATCAACCAAATACCAAAATTTGTGGGCCCCAACGAAATTATAATTTTTTCTGCCGAACATGCTCTTAGTAGTGGAGTAAATTTACTTATTCACACATGTACTGATCACATTTAAATATAGAATAATGTTATTTGTGCATGAATCAGTTATATAATGGTTTTACAAATAGATGAGGTATCAAAAGACAAAAAGAAAGTGTGAAAGTTTTTTTTATTTGATTCAAGAAATTTCGATTTAATCATATTTCATAACATCATTATATATATATATATAAAATATGTAAAAGTACTTGGATTTTTTTGAAGAGTAATTATGGATCTATCCTTTTCACTAGTACTTATTAAGATTAATAAGGGATCTATCCTTTTCACAAGTACTTGGTACTTGTTTGGGTATTTGTTATTGATAGCGGATAGACATAACATGGTCCTTTCTGAAAATCACGCCTAGGTTCTTTGGTTCCAATATTATATATATTTAGCTCCAAATCCTCTTGTTATTAATTAAATAAAAAAATATCATTATCAAAATAAAAAAAGAAATCGCATAATGGTTGGATGTGTTTAACTATGCACATGGCATCACGATACGATCTTCACAAAAATAGTGGCATTCCTGTTCATCAAGTATGTTGCGTCAATTTTTACTGTATTATATACTTTTCATTTAATAACGGTTATTTTTTCTTAAACTTACGTAAGTGAAAGTTTTAAATTATTTAGATCCATGTGCGGAATTACATAATTAAAAACAACAAGTCACTTTTTAATTATTTCTATATGATTAGTCAAATAAATCAATTTATCCTAAATTTGAATATCACAATCAATAATTAAAGCAGTAAAGAACACCAAAAATGATCACCAAGAAATCTAAACTGAGTAAAAATTTTGGGTATTTCGCCAGTCAATAATCAGCTATAAATAAAAGCAAACTTACAGCACGGTACGACCCGTCTACTCCATAGAACTTCTGATTTCAATTCCTATAATTTCATTTGATCCTACTGGAGGTGTGCTCCTTCAAAACGAATCCCGACTCTTGGTTTATACCTAGCCCTTCGTATTGCGTGCTTCAACTCCAAATTCCGACTCCGGTACGTCACCTTGGTCCTCCTTAATTTGTGCTCTTGCAATAGCTCCCGATCCTTGATATCGATTTATTTCTAATGAATTAAATGAAGAACATCTCGTTTTTCGGGTTGGTGTTTGATCAAAAGATCTTTTTGTATGAACTTGTAGGATGATGCAAAAAATATTGGAATATATTTTTGGTTTTCAAATATCAAACTCTTGACTTACAACAAGGTACTACTAATTGGATCAATATATGAGTTGAATAATGAACAAATAATATTGTGGTTGAATCAGGAATCAATTAAAGTTTTGGATCATCAAAGAATTAATCTCTATAAAATAAATCTGATTCAACACACTTTGAAATGTTTATATATATATATAATGAGCAGGATTCTGGACGTCAATCCACCGCTCGAGCGCTAGGCGAGCTACACACCTGTCACTCAAGAGCTAGTCTAGAACTAAAGGGGTGACAGCGATTCTGCTTCTACGTTAGAGCGTCGACTGGGCGACAAGGTAGCGAAATAGTATCATACTTGATTTCAACTTTTTCAAGTCCGAATCTTGATATTCTTCTTGAATTTATTTGACTTCTTTTAGGACTTTATCAACCCTATACTAATTTTACCATAACTTGGACTTTTCTAATTCTAATTGGACTTTAATTACAAAATAATTAAATCTCGATACAATTCAACTATGATATGATTTTGACAAAGGAAATTGCCAATTACAAATTTAGAATTTGTCAATTATATAATTTGGACTTAACAAGTAGGATACAAGAATAACCGGAAGCAAAGCTCTTACTGTTCTTTAGAGTAATAATATGAGCGAACTTTTATTTATAAATAGTACTTTAATGCTTAATAAACATTTTTAACAGCAGTAAAAACAAAATTATCATGTTAAAATATTTTTTTTTTAGATGGGTCTTTTTCTTGATTAATTGTTGATGGTGAAGTTAGGGGTCCTCAACTGAGAGAAGTTAGCCAAATTGTACCGAACACACACCTGCCGTTGCCCATCCTGGCCATGTGGAAATTCTGACGAAAAAAAAAGCATCACATCTTAAATAACACAACCAAATGGCCCCAACTCTGCCAGACGACAAACCCACTACGGCAAAAAAAAAAAAAAAAGTTCACAATTCACGGGGATAGATTATGATTATAATTCTCAGAAATAGGAGACATCGAAAGTTGAACTCAGCATTTTAAATAATCTTATCGAAAAGCTTAAACTCTTAAAAGGAAAAAACTCTAAATTTACGGAAAATATGCTTAGTTTCTTGTTCATAGACGCATTCACTTGCTGCCAACTGATATGGGTGCAGTCATTCAAACTCCTACACTCCTACTCTGTACATTTCCCAACTTTATTCAGTATCGAGCTTTTTGACTAGATCTTATTACCAATATTCCAAATAACTCATCAAAAATAAAAATTAAAAAATCTCGAAATAATTGATCCCAGAAAGAACCATAAAGAGGAATCGTAATGAATATTACGAAGTGTACGAATAATAAGTATGAAAGTGCGTTGTTAAAATTAATATTTAATTTTGACCGAATTTATAAATTAATGAACGCAAAGGCTAAATTTTTATCCCAAAAAAGTAGAAACTCTCCTCAAGATTCCATGATATGATAGCAAGTTGCAGCCTAAGCAGTATTTTAGTGCTAACAATTTTTTACTGTTACTGCCAACATTAAGCTGCTTTTTTACCAGTCGGTGGATCTGAACTTCATCGTTTGATGGCCATTATTAATAAAAAAATAATGTTTTGAATGGTGAAATCTTGGAGAATGAATGTTTAAAAATGGAGAAAAATTTTGAGTTCACGTACAGAATATTTTATTGTGTGAATATGTGGTTAAAAATGAGAATGTAGAAAAAATAGTTTTAATGTAACGGTCATCAAATCTGCCGGTCTCTAAAAAGTCTATGGTTTCAGTGTTCTATTCTCTGCAAATTTGGTTCTCTCCTTCAGAAAAATCCTGTAGGGTTGAAATCAATATATAGTACTCTGTTTTTGTTTCATGTTCTTGCTAATAAGCATATTATATAGCAATTTGTAGTTTTATTTAGTTGGTATTTCAGTTGATATTAATGAACTGAGTAAAAGAATTCGCGTAGTCGACCATGAACTTATTTATCATTTATGAGGCCTCTGTTATAGTCTCTGATATGCTTTTTCTGGATGATGAATAGGGTCATAGAAACTTGCAATGTTGACTGTTATGCATGAGTTTCCTCAGATGGATTTCTTTTTCAAATTGCTGTTATGGGTGGCTGTGCATTATACTTTTTGTGTTGAAGATTTTAGAATTTGAACGTTAGGGAAAAAATATATTAATAAGATTTGTTTTGCACTCAAAATACCAATGCAGATGTTCATCCTGAGATCTGCATCACTTTTAGAAGTAGCATTGGATGAGGTTTAACCACATGGGGAAAGGGGATTTGTTTGTGATTTTATATAGGTTTGCTTAGTTAGCATTGTAGACGAAAAGGAGAAGGGGTTTTTGCCGGCAGTCGAGTGCAAGTCGGTTTTTTTAGTTATATTTAGTAGATCGAAAGGAGTAAAAATGAGATCCATAGAGGATAAGGGGTGCTTGAGTCATGGAACTACACAAGAGATGCCGGATGAAAGTTGTATGAGTTTTGAGTTCCACAAAGGAAATGGGATGAATCGAGCTTCTCACCAACGAACAGCCTTAGGGAAACCAACTCCGTCAAAATGGGACGATGCACAAAAATGGCTAGTAAATCTATCGAAAGAAGGAGATAAAAATCAGGCAAAAGCTTCCCCCCGTAATTCAAATGCTGATGACAAGAGATTGATTGTTCAGGTACCAAAGAAGGAATACTCGAGTGGTGAGGAAGATGATGATGGTACTGGCTCTACAAAAGCGAGTCCATATGAAGTGGAAACTAAGAAAATAGACTGTGATGAGTCAATATGGAGAATCAGTAAGCCAGTTAATAGTTCTGCATCAGTTGTGAGCTCAATATGTGTGAGGGATATGGGGACAGAAATGACTCCGATAGCGAGTCAAGAACCCTCGAGAACGGCAACTCCTATCAAAGCCAGAACTCCAGTATCAAAAAGCCCCATATGCTCAGGTCCATCAACTCCGGTAAGAAGTCAGAGCGGATTGCTGGCTCACAAAAGTGGCCAAGCTGTTACTATCCTGACTGGGACGAGAGACGAGGGTAGCAGGGGCAATGGTACCACTATACGATGCAGCAGAGACGGAGAAGAACCAAATGCTAACAATGCGCCTGCAAGCAGGACTACAGATCAATCAAGAAAGTTAAATCCTCTGGAAACCCGAGCAACAGCTTGGGATGAGGCCGAGCGTGCTAAAAACATGGCAAGGTAATTTATTGAATCATTTTTCTGCTGATTAAGAAACCAAAGCTTCGAAGATTCCTCCAATGCTTGTAAAGCACTTCCTTTACACTCGGTTTGTACATGTGAGAAACCTTAGATAGTTTACTAGTTGTCTATTGATGGACCTGCAGGTACAAGCGCGAAGAGGTGAAGATTCAGGTCTGGGAAAATCATCAGAAGAGGAAAGCTGAAATGGGAATGCGGAGAATGGAGGTAATTTGACTTTATTCTGCAACCAGCATATATTGCAGATTTAAAAGGTGTACTTTGGCTGATTCTTCATTGTTTTACTGGCACTTTTTAAAGTGTTAGATGAGAAAAAAACTTTTAAAATACATGAATCATGGAGGATAAGGGCATCTACGATGGAGACACCAAAAGACCAAAATGCACCAAAATTTGGAGCAATAGTGGTCCAATGTTTAAAATGAAAGGTATAATAGAAATAAAGAAGTTTCTATCTTCCACGTTTAAAATGAAAGATCTGGTCAAATGTATACCATACTAGGTATCAAATTCACCAAGACTAGTGGGGGTTATATGTTAAGTCAATCACATTATGTTGAGAATGTGATTAATAATTTTGAACACTAGAACATTAAAGAAGCTAATACTCTATTTGATCCAAGTTTTAAACTTATAAAGAATGATGGAAGAGCTGTAGCACAACCTGAGTATGCAAGTGCTATTGGGAGTCTAATGGATGTTGTGCAATGTACAAGATTCGATCCAAGTAAAGAACATTGGAAGGGTTCTTGGTTATTTGAAGAAAAAATAAGGATCTAGTTCTACAATTTTCTAAGTTTTCGGTAATAATAGAAAGATTTATCGATAGTAGTTGGATATCTAGTTGTAAGTGAGAATAAATCAAGATGAGGCTAGGTATTTACCCTCAGAGGAGGTGCGGTCTCTTGGAAATCCAAGAAACAAACTTGTATTACTCACTCAACTATGGAATCCGAATTTGTAGCATTGGCTGAAAATCGGAAAAAAGCTGAATGGTTTAAGGATTTTTATTGTGTGAAATTCCATTGGGAGAAAAATAATAATTTTTCCATATGTATCTTGTGTGATAGTCAAGCAATTTTAAGTAGAGCATACAATGAAGTGTATAATGGTAAGTCTAGATATATTAGTCTAAGATATGACTATGTCAGAAAATTAATCAAAGATGGAATAATTTCACATACTTATGTGAAGTCAACTGAAAATTTGGCTGATCCGTTCACTAAACCGCTCACAAGGGAATTAGTGCGAACAACTAGCAGGATAGGGTTAAAACTCCATAATTAAATCCACCAATGACGGTAACCCTACCTGACTATACTAATAAGTATATTTCCGGTTCAAAGGGTAATAATAAGTCATTCGATAAGTGGATAGATTCAACACTTATTTTTCTTGTATGGTGATTGTAATTCTATATATATAAGTGATTTTCATGATTGAAAACATATCACAAACATCCAAAATCAAAGATGAAACCCAGTTTTTTATATTGTTCTTCAAAATTCCTTTTCCAAGTTTTGATTACTTGATTCATACTTGGAATAAGGTTTGTTTATTCCTACAAACTATTTGCCATTGAAGCATTTAATTACTTAAACCTATGGAGGCAAATGTCAAACTGACATCGATTCATAATTGTGTTCAAATCTTCAATTTGAAGATTTCTCGTTGCTAGTTTTATTTGCGTTCTTCATCAATTTTTCAATAGAAACATGGTATTTAAAAAAAATATTAATAAAATTCTGCTTACTGCCTACTGAATTATAAATAGGCAAGTCTCGGAGATAAATAATTGTTCATCTCCTCATTTCACTTCCATTCTTTTCGTGTAGGTGAAGGCTGAAAGAATGAAATCTCGAGCACAAGAAAAGTACACGAACAAGCTTGCGTCTACTAGGAGAATAGCAGAGGAAAAGCGCTCAAATGCTGAAGCCAAACTAAATGAAAAGGCCGTGAAGACATCAGAAAGGGCAGATTATATTAGAAGAACGGGTCATCTTCCCTCTTCTTTTTTCTTTAAGCTGCCTTCCTTTTGCAGGTAGAAAAATATTTGTGCATTTAACATTCCCAGTTCTAAGTGTATTTATATTTCAAACTGTCCTAAAGGAAATCCTTTCCTTCCAACTTCCTGCTACAGTTAAGTCGATTCATTTATTAATTGATGCAAAGTGCACTAATAATGCCCCTCGGTGAGTAAACTTTTGGAAAAAAATGATTATCGTGCATATATTATAGGCTTTTTTACGCCTTATTTTTTGTATAGAATGCATTTTTGAATAGTAGAGTGAGTGATGGAGAATATGTGGTTAAAAATGAAGGAAATTTTTTTGGGTTGCATGTAATATTATTTTATTAAAAAATGCATGATAGAAAAAAAGAGTGAAAAATGTATTTTGAAAAAAAAAAAAGGAATCAAACAAGGACCATATTAAAATCTAACCTTTTGGTAGTGAAAAAGGGGACATAATTTCAACTTACCCAAAAACCAATAAGAATAAAATAATATAGAGAAATTGAAATGGTCGAGACAAGAGTTTGACTCTTTCTTCTTAAAGTGATAATGTCTCGCACTGATGGGAAGGTTCTTCGATACTGTATTTTAAGATAAAACAATCTAGATTTGTAATAGAAAAACTTCTAGATCAATGAACTTACTAATGTTACAATCTTTCTGAATCAAAAGAGGACTTAAAAATATGCAAAAGTATATTATTTGGGATAAACATGAATAACATGAAAGAGTATAGGAATGAAGAGAACATTATTCTGCAAAAGAAGATTTTTGGATGAACAAAATCCATGATTTGAGTCCTCTATATAGAAGTTGAAAAGTTGTGTACAAAAACTACAACTGTTTGAAAGTTGTTCATCGAAAGACACGACTGCTAAAAGGCTATGTTTTGAACAGACACTACCCATTTGGAAAGCTAGTAAACTATTGTTCAGGCAAACATGTTTGTAAGTGTCCTATTCTAGAAGTCAGACGTGTGATGCACAGATTCGAAAGGCTATAAAAAATATAATTATTTAATTCAATTAAAAATATAATTTAATATATTAATTGACCAAAAAGACAGAGTGGGAATTACACAAAACCAGAAATTTAAAGATTCAATTTCATAACTCAAATTAAAGGTTTCACTTTTCAAAAATCAGATATTTTATTTTAAATATTAAATATTAATTGTACAATTTTCACCACAAATCCTAATCAATTTCATTTCAATTTTCTCCCTCCTTCTCTCTTCTCTCTCTGTTCTCACCGTCACTCTCTCTTCTCCACTCTCCTCCTTCTCCCCTGGCAGCCTCTCCCTCCTTCTCTCTTCTCTCTCTTCTCCACTCTCCTCCTTCTCCACTGGCAGCCCAGCTTCCACGAGACGGGGGGAGCATGATGGACTCCTGGTGACGGTGGGCAGCACCTACTGCCTTCGTGACTTGAACGCAGCTGCTTCCGGTTCGGGCGCTGTCGCTTGCTGTGGTGTGGCTATGAGTGTTGGGTTTTGCCGTGCATTCGGTTGGTGGTGGGTGCGATGGTGGATTTGCTGTGAGGTTGTGTTGTATGTTTGTGCATGCGTGCGGCAGGTTGGCAGTGGGTGCGGTGGTGAGTTTTTTTATTTTATTTTTTATTTTGTTGTTAGATTTGTTTTTCATTTCCCCCAAATCCGTTCTCTCTCTCGCTTCTCTCCTCTCTCTCGTCGCCGCCACGACTATTGGTGGATGAATTTTTCAATTCCTGATTTTTAATCACGATAATTAGTGGTGGTGGCACTTCAGGCAGTCGTGCTACTACGAATTGTGGATCTGAAGTTGGTAGATTGTGGATTGCGGATCATGGGTGGTGGAGTTGGGCGTGTTGTTGTATGTGTGCTGATCTGTGTGACTTGTGTGTTTTGTGTTTTGGCGGTGATGGCGATGGCGACTAGTGGTGGTGATGGTTGTTTGTGTGGTTGTAGGTGGTGGAGGTGGGCGATCTGTGGGTATGTGTGTTGATCTGTGTGTGCTCTGTGATGTTTTGGCGGTGGTGGGAAGAAGGTCACTAGTGGTGCGATGGAGGTGCAGGTGTGCGTTGCGGTGCAGTGGTGGTGTTTGACGGCGGTGTTGTGTGCGGTGTCGTGACGGTGGTCGTGGGTGGGATGATATGGACATGGGTGTCTGTGACCAATTATTTGATGATTGTGACCAATTATTTGTTAATTTTTGACAAATTAATAATTTTTTATCTAAAAATTGTGACTGTAACTCACATTTTATTAAGTTATAATCGAGTTGTGACCAATAAAAGTAATTCGTGATCTATAATTTGATGTTTTGTGACCATAAAATAAGTTGTGTGACTTATAAATTTTGTGATTTGTGACCGATGAACAAATTGTTG